CGCGGGACTAACGAGCGAGAGGGAGGGTGGCCGGACTGCGCAGGTCCCGAACGCCGCTTCAATCCTCCTTTTGACCCGGGCGAAGAAGAGCGTGAAGGGAGGGGGCACGGGGAGAGTGGAACGGGGGGGGTCGGTCAAATAGGCAAGAGGGGACGATCGAAGTGGAACATTCCGCGCCAGCCAATCAGGGGGCAAGTTCGCCAGTTGCGTCACTTCGCGTAGTTCTGAGAGCCTTCGGGAGTTTTCGCGGCCGTGGCGGCGAGCTTCCCGCTGGCCCTAGCAAAGCACTACGCCGTCTAGTCATCTCATGTTGGTTATCGGCTGTGGCTACTGTGCAGCCTATATTCGTAACCATCATACGATTAGGGGGCAAAACTGAAATATGTTTCATAATTCATCGGTGTATTATAGAGGCTGCAGTGCTGTTCCTGCTTACTGGGAGATGGGGTGGTCGGATTTATTTATTAAATTTAAATCATACCTTTCCTCCAGACTCTCAATATAGTATATATAGCAGTCACTTTCCCCATTTTTCCCCCACAACAGTATCCCTAGGAAGTTGATCTGAGAGAGAGTGACACACCCAAACATGGATTCTATGGTTTTATCAATACAATAAGCTTGTAATTTTGAGCCTATGGATGGGTAAGCTTAATAACCAAGTTTCACTTCAAAAAAAATGGCTCATACAATTATGGATTTACAAGAAATATATATGTCATAAGTAGAAATTATTCTTCATTGCAAACACAACTTAAAACCATTTTGTTAGCAAATGTTCTGTAATGCAATGACTAGCAAAATATGGCTGGATTTACACAGCACATTATATAAAATATGGTTTGTTTGTACCTCAGCATGTCATGTACATTTTTTCAGTGTATTGTTATGGCTTAATGTCTTGTGTGAATCTAGGCAGTTGGGCTAATTCAACTAGTCGTGGTTCAAGTTAATCATGGGTTAGCTGAGTGTACAAACCAGTCAGTTTAAACATGGCAATAGCCATGTTTACACAGAGCAGCCAGGATTCTGGAAAGTTATTCCCAAAGAAACTAGGTTACCACAGGCAAAAAGCAAATTTTGGTTTGCATTTTGGGTGCCAGGATATCTCATTTAGACAACATACTAAACAAACCATTTCTAATTGGGCCAATTAGGCTAGAGAAGCCTTTTCCTGCTTGCTGCCATGCAGATCAGTTCGGTGACAACTTCCTAAATTTTTAGCCAGCATTATTCCTAGAAAGTTGCTCAATCAGACAACAAAAATAAGAGATTGTTCCTTTTTATTATGCTAATTGTGCCTCCCACATGTAAAACCTCTTCAGCAAGTCTTGCTGTATTTTCATAATGTGCTAAGCTAACTATGACTGAATTCAGAATATGCTAAACCATAAACAAGCAAATAACAATTTGGCTCAATATGTTGTCTGAAACTTGCCATTTGATGGCATGCACACACATGCTTACCTATGGTTAAATGAACCATGATGTAATTATCCCAGCAGGGTTCACACATCACATTGAATTACAAACTAGCCAAACAGGTGCTGTGTGCATCCAGCTGAAATCTTATCTTTATAATACACATGCTTTCCCACCGCCCACTCACCCCATAGAAACTCCATTGAAGAGAGGGATGGAATAATTGCAAAATGCCTTTTGGTTGTTAGCTCAAAAAATTGTCCATCTAAAACACTGTTCCTCAAGCTTATCAGCTTTAAGATGTGTGGACTTCAGTGCCCATCATGCTGGCTGGGGAATTCTGGGTATTGAAGTCTACACGTCTTAAAGTTGCTGAGGTTGAGAAACACTGATCTAAAGGACTCGAAATACTATGACATTAGCTCTCATGAGCATCATCCTTTTTTTATCACAATCTGTGATCTGTATTTAGCCTAGAGTTCACTGCTGTGCAGCTCTTAGCCTATATTGTTGTGCATCTAGTACAGATCAGTTCAGAAAATCATGCTCTTGCAGAAGGCCTGGGAGTGGCCCTAAATCCCCCTAAGAATCCAGCTAAGTAGAGCAAAAATGGCAGCCAGCGGACTCAGGATGGTGCGCACCTCCAAGCTCCTTTTCTGAAACTCCCCAAGTCCCTTTGCCTAGGAATGTTGAAAATTGGCAGCACTTTTGTCTGAGGAGAAACATACAAAAGCTGTCACACAGGCCCCAAGATAGACAATGCTGTTAAAACAAACAAGCATATACTTCCCATCAGTTCTTCCCTAAAGAAGAAAAAAATATGGAAAATCCTGGCCATGTCTCTTGGCTTGATACCGGCCCACCCATTTTGCATTGTCATCTCATGCGCTGCGGTCCACAGAATGGCTTCTCCCAGTGCTCTTTTGTTAAGAAACCAAAAACAGAACCAAACAATTACAATAAAGGAGACAGAGGAAGCAATAAAATATGTGCAAACATCAATGAGAAACATATCAAGCTGCAAGGTAAAATTCAGCCCCCACTGAGCACTGCAGGATTTTCATTCAGAAAAAAGTGAGTAAACCAGTTGGAAGAATATTCCAGAATTAGACAGCAAAGGACTAGGGTGCCAAATATAACTGCAGTAAGCCCTGATAACCTGCAGGGATACTGTATTAGATTTTAACTACCAGAACCCTGGGAATGATTAAATGTGACATAAAGAAACTAAGAACTGAATTGGAAGAAAGCATCATTAGGAAATGGGAGAGAGCTTTTATATTCTGAAATCTTGCCAAGAAGACTGCAGGGACTAGTCTAGGCAGTTGTCAGGAGTCAACAATGACTTAAAGCCACCCCACCCCCAAGTATATTAGGTGAACTAAAGGTATTGTGCCTTATAAAGTTTAGTACAATATATGGTTTTGCAAAACGTGCAAGGTCAGTCAATTGTGGTTTATTTAGAAAACATGGTTAAATTGTGTCTTAGCATCTGGTTTGAGAGAGGAAATAGAAAAGGGTTTAAAATTAAGTGAAGAGAAGGCAAGGGAGAAGAAGTAAAAGGCCTATGGTAAGTATAGATATTAAACATCCATTATATCAGATATTACAATAAGGTATTACATTATATACCTCATTATTTATCAAAAGACTTCATGTTCTGGATGTTCTGTCCTGTAAATGTGGGTTTACAGTTTTAACTCCCTGTGCTGTGATGTGAAACTCAGCGTAAGTTACTTCATGCGCTGGCTTTAAAGTATGTAGTGAAGTCAATTGTGTTGTCTACCCAAAAATATAGCAAGTTCCTCAGTTATATTGACTACAAGGAGGCACCCTGTGACCAGCTACATCGTTATTAGGATTCCTTAGATGTGGGTAACCAGATGTTATTCTATTGGGTTCAAAGAGAGAATTGAAATTGCAGTACTTTCGTCCCAATAAGGAAAAACCAGTCATGTGGTGCCTCCTGGTGGTCAGTGTAGCTGAAAATACCACACAGGATATATACTGTGTATAAATAGAGAAATCCACCCCACCAAGGGGGGGTAGTAGTGGTGGAAGTTATGTAGAAACCTGTACGTGGGAGCATGACATAATACAACATCTGTATCTCTCTGCTCTGAGACCTTAATGGAAGGTGGACTGTATATACCATTCTGATAGGACGAGTTTCTTAAGTAGACCATTGGGGAATGCTCCATCTTGCAGTCAGAATTGATTCAGTCGGCCTGTTTTTAAATAACCGAAAGAGACAGTACTTGGGTTTTCTCATAAGAGGGGGAAAAAAACAGAACATAAACAAACCTGCTATTATGAGCAGTGGAAGAACACTACCTATTCTGATGGAGGGAAATACAATCTACTATTTGTAGCTATTCTTAATTAGAGAAAGTTATCTATTGCTCACTTTCCAACTGTATTCCTCCTTTCTTATATCTGCTTTGCCATTAATTTCGTCAACAATTGCTGGTGAATTCCAAATTTCAAAAAAACATTTGTGTGTTTTCAAAGTCAATTCCCCTTTTTAGGCAACAGGTGCAATTGAGTGATTCCACATGGTATAGGTAGATTATAAATAATGTGTGTAGATATAATTAAAAATAAATATTTAAAAGATTTAAGAATGTAGAAAAAGCATG